TCTCAATTTTTTCTAAAACTACACAAGGTAATTCCAAAAGATTGACAGAGGACAGTAAATGGTTAATTACAAATTCGGACAAACTGCAAATATGTGCCCTGTACAAGAAATTGATAAAAAAAAAAGAGGAAACCACATTAAAATCGACAGATTGTTTTTAACTTCAAATCCAAATTGGAAGATACTAATTCAAGGGGATAGTACAAGAACTGCCTAGTAGGGAAAAATTATAGTTGTGGTTTAAGTCCGTATAGGCGAGCGGTTCACCCCTAAAGAAAAGGCATGAACCGACTAAATTTTTAAAACAAAAACCTACAACATGAAACTTTTTTATTTTATAGTGTATTTTTCTGATAATTTACATATTTTTTTATATTTTTCGGGGTGGTAAGACAATTGTTAGAAACAAAAAAGGTGTAAAAAAAATTACTCGCCGAATGGCTTTGAAAATAGTTTTTTATTGTAAAATGGACCAAAATAAACACTTTTTGTTTTTTGACAAAAATTCGAAAAAACCTTCGTTTCCGAGATATTTACAATTTAATGTGAAAAAAGTGACGAAATCGACAAAATTTCGGAATTTTTTTCCTCAAAAACTACTGAACAGATTTTAATTCTAAAAAAGCATAATAATTTCCTACTTTAAGATAAATATTTTTTGGTATGGGTCAATCATTTTATTGAAGGTCTAAAGCGAGTAAAAAAGTCTTAAAGAAAATTATAACACTTCAAATTTATTTTTTTTTTACAATATCTTGGAATAGATTAAACATATTTCCAATAAACATTATTAGATTTTTTTTAATCGATATACATTAACAGTACAAATGTTCAAAAGATTCATTTTGTTTGGTTTTGTAGCCGGAGTAAGGTTTTTGCAAGTACATAATTAGTAAAATTTAAATATTCGATTTTTGGTTTTATAAATGGCTAAAATTGACTTGAAAGTTATACTAAAACTAAACTAAATAAGCTTTTTAAATCGTAAAATTAATCTAATAATAATAATTGACCTAACGGTCTCAAAAAATAAAAAAGTTATTGGATATTTTATTGTATAGGATAATTATTTTACTTTTATTTTACAAAAATATTAAGAGCAATAAAAGTATATTAATTTATTTTTTATTTAATTTTTAAATAATAAGTTTTTCGTTATTTTCGACAAGTTCTTGAGTTGAAATAAGCGTTTCATCATCAATTTCGGATGGAACATTTTGACATTCATCTGAGCACGCACAGACTGCACAGCATTCCAGGTTCGATGACAAACAATTACAATTTTTCGTAGAACATTTTCCACTACATGAACAAAAATATTTTGAAGCATATCTAACGCAGTTTCTCCTTCGAAATAATTAAAATCCAAACAACCATTTTCGATTTTCCATCCATGTGTCACTAGATCTAGTTACAATTTCATTATTTGTAGCCTGCTTCCATTCACTTATTTGCCAGCTTGATTTTCTTTAAAAGACTGTTTTTTACTCGCTTTATAGCTGTTTTACATTGACAATTTATTGATAAATAAATTGACGAAGTTCTTCATGAATTAATTCACGAATTTATTGGTAAACAGTGTGGTTTTACACTGCTACAGACTTTGTCAAGTTTTTTGACGTATGAATCAGTTCTACCAATGAATCAAAGAAGCAAATAAATTTCAAAAATGTCACCTTTCCACTCATAATTGTAGTGACACAATAGCGGTACCGTTCTGACACATATTATATAAATATTAGTTTTTGTAAGTAACAAATCAGTAAAAACAATGCAAAACTAGCACGACGCCAGACAATTATTTACATATTGCAATAACATAACCTCATTACTGATCTGAGGCTGGAAATCTGTTGGGTTGGTACTTCCGAACTTCACGGAGAAATTGACGAAAATTAGAACATCCTCTAATTCGTCAAGAACTTGATAAATAAATTCATGAAGTTATTTGACAGCAGATTTGGTGCATTACACTTGTCCAATTTCTTGATGAAGCGACTTCATGAATTAATTGATCAATAAATTGTCAATGTAAAACAGCTATTAGACCTTCAATAAAATAATTGACCTATACCAAAAAAAAACATATCTTAAAGTAGAAGGTCTGCCGATTATTATGCTTTTTTAGAATTAAACTCTGTTCAGTAGTTTTTGAGAAAAAAATTCCGAAGGTTTGTCGATTTCATCACTTTTTTCACATTGAATTGTAAATATCTCGGAAACGAAGCATTTTTCGAATTTTTGTCAAAGAACAAAAAGTGTTTATTTTGGTCCATTCGACGAGTATTATTTTTTACAACTTCTTTGTTCATAACAATTGACTGACCACACCGAAAAATATAAAAAAAATATGTAAATTATCAGAAAAATACACTTTATAAAATAAAAAAAGTTTCATGTTGTAAGTTTTTGTTTTAAAAATTTAGTCGGTTACCTTCATTTAGAAGCATCTTTTTAGGGCCTAGTAGATTTTGGTATGAGAATTAATATTAAAAAAGTTAAAATAACCAATCACTCTGCAAGAGTTACTGATGTCTCAAATTTGGACAAAAAGGCGGTTGGAAAACACTGTATTAAAATTACAGGGTACAATAACTAATAACAGCCAATCAATGTGGAGATGATTTGAATCTAGAGAAAGACTATACCTAATACTAGTGAGTTTATTCATGACCAAAATATAATAGAAATTACACTACTACAGAAAATATCGATGTGCAAATTATTAACTCAAACCAACCCACATTTGTAATAAAAACTAAAAATGATACGTTAATTATTTGTTACTGACTTATTAATGAGTAACAGCATGGTGTAATCCAATAGTAGTTAGGGTAAGTGGCTCAGAGAGTTGTTGTTGTTCCCTCAATATCAGTAGTTAGTAATCTAGTCAATGAGGTTGGATATTGGACATCTTTCCTGGTATCGAAGAATACTGTTTGACTTCATTTGATAAGATTATTTAAAATAAAAGTAAAAACATATGAGCTAATAATAACAGAATATATGTTTTTTGAAAGAAACTTCGTCTGGGGTGCAAAGAGAAATATTTCCTGATATTTTTTTCATTATGGTAACATTTTAAAATAACATCATTTGATTAGCTACAAATGAGAGGTGCGAAATTTTCTTCGCATCGAATTTGAATGAATAATATTTTCTGCTTTTAAAGTTTTGATCACGGGCAAACAAAAAACAGTTGATTAGCACTTACTGCACTGTTTAGGAGCAATGTTTTCGTATTTTGCATGAAGCATGTTTAAAAACATTTGTATGTGAACATTGTTTTAGATCTGGACTAAGTATAAGGGCCAATCGAGAAGCCAATATTTTGAGTACCAGTTAAAAGTTAAAACCTGGTAACAGGTTCCTAGATTTTTAGCTAGGTACTAATTTACAATAGGAGTACGTCTCGGAGTAAGTACCTACACCTTTTACACCCTAAAAATAAATGTCTAAAAATAACGCTTCACTGCATGAAAACTGCAAGGGGTTGATATTTCTAAAAACTAGGTACTTCGGCATTCTAAAAATTCGTAACTTCATTCATTGAGTTCAAATAAGAAAGATGTATTAATATTTGCTCGTCCACATTCATGGATTTTTTTTTTAGTGTACTGATTTTGTTTATCTTGACTTGCAAATTTGCAATATGAGACATAGTGATAAGATAATTTTAATGTCTTTATTGATCTATAGGTACTTGGATATACAGTTAATATTGGATCTGTTTTAAAATATGTTGGATATGCTTTATGAAAATTAAATCGAACTGGAATAGTTAATAATCGAACTGGAATAGTAATCTCATAAATATATGTTTTAGATATCGAAATACTTACTGTTAATTAATTCTTACGTACCTAATGCACAAAAAAGTTCTTTTTTGATGTAGGTATCCGCAAAGGTCGAAAAAAATCGTATTTTTATATAAATTACAAAAAATCTTGTCTCATGTCGCTAGGGTGTACCGTTTTCGAAGCAAAAGGTAAAATGTCAAGTAATTGTTGCCAAAAGTATCAGGAATCACGTTATTTTTTAGAAATGATGACAATATTTCATATAATCACGTTATCCATGAATTAAAATAAAATTTAATAGCCTTCTTCGTGTCTCTTTTTTGCAACTTGAAATAAATCATGTATTTTTAATCATATTGAACACTCTGTGGCACGAAAACGAAGCATTTCCAAAATTTTTTTAATTCATGACAGAATCTGCCACTAAAGTACACCTTGTATACCTATTTGGACAAAATATGAAATTCTACCACGTTACCTACATTAATTAATAGGTACTTCTGCAGGATGCAAAAATATATTGTGTATTGTGGCTGAATTTTGTGTGTTTATTACAAAGGATGATCTATTAAAAATAGAAATGGGAGATAACTTTCTTTGCAACCAAGCTTGCAACATTATTTAATGATGTATGACCTGTTCTTTTTTTTTTTCATTTAGTAGGTACGATTTTATTACTTTTTTATTTTGGATAATTTTTAATGACTAGTTTGTCGACGTTCTGCATCTTTTAGCCTAAAGATATGTATTTATATGTATAGGTACATGGTAGGTATCATCAGAGAATCATCATATCTATAACTTGATTTGTTGATGAGTACCTAGGTATTTATGAAAATTTGATTTTAGGTATTAAATATCAAAAATAAGAAACTAATACACTTTCATTTAAAAATTAATTATACAAGTTAATTATATATGATTAGGTAAGCTTGTAAAAGTATTAAAAAGCAGCATTAAAACACACCCAATACTTAAATATATCAATAAAGTTTTGCACTATTTTCAAAATTGTAATTTACTGATAATCAAACATTAATATCTAGTAGGTAAATATTTAATTTAAAATAACTCCTCACAAAAATAGCTGGATTAGCAGAATTAAAATGTGATTCACAACAGCAGTGCAAAATGTCAATATCTACCACCCTCTAGAAAGGGTGGCATGGTGTTGACAGTGGGCGAATTAAATCGACTTACCCGTAGATGAAAAATCAAGCTCGACCATGATTATGTTATTTTGAAGGCTTAATACACATATTCGCACAAATTTTCATTCATGAAATTGGAGATTTTCGTCACAAATAGAACTAATACACGGTCATAACGTGAGGAAAGACGGCATATACAAACCCGCACGTATCAACACTAACAACAAAACAGATGGGACAAGAGAGAAATACAGACAACGAGAAATGGGCAAATAGAAAGAAACGGCGCTCATACATAGGATAAGAGAGGAAGACAGGCACACGAATAAAGTGATAAGTAGTGGGGAGAAATCAATATCCATTGTGACATCTGTACGCCAATGTCTAATTTAATAAATTAAAAAGTAGGACCCTTAACAGTTAATTTTTTTATATATAAATGTACAGTTTTTTAACATAAAACGTAGAACCACATAATTTTACCAATCGCAATTTTAAATCAAGAATAATAAACATCTATTTTCTCTGAGACTAAATATTATTTCAGTATAAATTTTCAGAGTTCTCATAGCGGTGCCATCTCTGGGCATATACATGGAATGAATTTAAAACACGTAAAGAACGGAACGGAAAGGTATTCACTTTTTGATTGGTCACATAGAGATTTAAATCAGATTTGCTTCCTGTTATTGGTCGTTCAGAAATTCTTTATCGGCATTCCGTTCCGTTTCCGTGCCATCTAAAATTTCAGTGACAGATTGTGACAGATTTTTTGCAGCAGGTTGAAGTTTACTCTTTATAGTACATATGTATAAATATTTTGTATGTAAAAACTCAATTGAAATAAAATTATTGTAGAAATTTGAGAAAAATGAAAACTCGTTTTAATACCTACGATATTGTTTGTGTAGTAACAGAACTGCAAAAGTAAGTTTTGTTTTTTGTTGTTTAACCTCAAAAAATGTAAATTTATTTTTTGTTTAGGCTAATTGGGTTGAGAGTGAATAACATATACGATATCGACAATAAAACTTATTTAATTAGACTTCAGAGAAATGAAGAGAAAAGCGTACTACTACTTGAATCAGGCAACCGTATACATACAACAAATTTTGAATGGCCCAAAAATATTGCACCATCTGGTTTCAGTATGAAGGTAAGCATCTAATTGCCACCCTTAAGTATATGGTGCAAAAATTAATAATATAAATGTTTTAGATGAGGAAACATTTGAAAAATAAACGACTTGAATCCTTGAGACAATTAGGTACCGACAGAATAATCGACCTGCAATTTGGTTCTGGGGAAGCGGCATACCACATTATTTTGGAATTATACGACAGAGGTAACATAGTCCTTACAGACTATGAATATACGATTTTAAATGTTCTTCGACCACATACTGAAGGAGACAAAGTTAAATTTGCCGTACGAGAAAAATATCCACAGGATAGAGCAAGAGAAAGTAAAGTCATAAGGAAGGAAGATATGATAAATATTTTACAAAGTGCAAAAACTGGCGAACAACTGAAAAAAGTTCTCGTTCCAAATTTAGGTAAGACTTGTAGAATTGACTGTCATAGAATTTTAATTTTACTGTTTGGAATTGTAGAATATGGTCCAGCTATAATAGAACACGTTCTTTTAAAACAAGGCTTTTCAAGTGCTACAAAAATTGGAAAAACTCTTAATATTCAGGAAGATATTGGTAAGGTTATGGATGCCGTATATGAGGCAGAAAATATATTTCAACTTGCTAAGCAGAATCATGAAAAGGTATCTAAATACATATTTCTGTTAGTTATTTCACTGTAATAATTTTTCGCAGGGTTTCATAACACAGAAAAAAGAAGAGCGTCCCACTGAAACCTCTGAAGTCTTTTACTCCAATCAAGAATTCCATCCCATGCTCTTTCAGCAACACTCGTCGATGCCACATAAAGAATTTGACAGCTTCAACGAAGCAGTAGATGAGTTTTTCTCTTCATTCGAAAGTCAGAAGTTAGAGTTAAAAGCTGTCCAACAGGAACGAGAAGCGATGAAGAAATTGGAGAATGTTAGAAAAGATCACGATCAAAGATTGGAAGCCTTGGAGAAAACTCAAAATATCGACAAACAAAAGGCCGAACTGATTACAAGGAATCAGGAGCTAGTTGATAGGGCCATTTTAGCAATTCAGACAATTTTGGCAAATCAGGTAAAACTTTTTTGTAATAGAAATGGAAGTTATCTAAAAAAAATTTGTCTGTATCACTTTAGGTGTCTTGGGAGGATATTAACGATATGGTTAAAGATGCTGCAGCTAAAGGAGATCCGGTAGCGAAGCACATTAAGCAGTTAAAATTAGAAATAAATCACATTACTTTATATCTGACTGACCCATATGCAGAACCGTTAGATAGTGATGAATCTAACGACGAAAATGATGATCAGTTACCAGCAATGGTGGTGGACGTTGATCTGGCGCTTTCGGCATTTGCCAATGCAAGAAAGTATGTATATGAGATGTTTAGTTGAAACGGGACTTAATGATTGAAATATTTTTTAGGTATTACGATTTAAAGCGTTCTGCAGCGAAAAAACAACAAAAGACTATCGAATCGCAGACAAAAGCATTAAAATCAGCTGAGAGAAAAACGAAACAAACTTTAAAGGAAGTCCAGACAATTACGAATATAAACAAAGCGAGAAAAACTTACTGGTTCGAGAAGTTCTTTTGGTTTATTAGTTCTGAAAACTATTTAGTTATCGGCGGCAGAGATCAGCAACAGAACGAACTGATTGTTAAAAGGTATGTTATTTGATTTTTTTTCTGTGGATTATATAGTTTTAAAAATTAGTCGTATTATACCTAACTTCATTAAAATATACATCGGTTAAATTAAGGCAAAGATACAGAATCAGATGATGAACAACAAGAAAAACTTCGTCATTTTTGTGTTGAAATTATCAATGCAAAACTTAAAATATTGATTATTAATTTTTTTAATTGAAAATAAAGAAAAGTTGATCTTTTAAAGTCAGACATAACATTTTTACGAAGAATTTAAATACAGGGTAACTCACAACTTATCCAAAAAAATTTGGGAATAGATGCGGCATGAGAAATGGAGTCAATATCGTATAAAAAATTTTTGTAAAATCCTTATAGTTTCCGAGACAAAAAATTATTGGTGTTATAGTACATTCAACCACTACATAGCTGGGCAACTGTAGTTTCTAGCGTCATTCGCAATGCGCGTGGAGAGCCACGTGGCCTCAGCGACTCTGAATACTGAAATCGAATTTTGCAATCGTCGTTGCGATAGTATTTACCTGTTATCTATGGTGTTTACAATAGTTTTTTTAGTAGTTAGTGTCAAAAGTGGGTAGTTAATGTCAAAAATGGTTTGCGTGTATAGCAACTCGGAGTTGATGGATATCGTTTTAATTTATAGTGAAGCATTTGTGTTGTGGTGAAGCAAGACAACATTTGTGTTAGTTCGTAGAAACTGAGTATGACAGACCCAAATGTGTTTACACGTTGGTGGATAAAATTTTGAACAATTGTTGTTGTAACATTGAGTATGTCAAATGATTTTATTATTTAAAAACACAAATTAATTTTATTAATTAATAAAGACAAAAGCAGTTGAATTTGCCGATATAAAATAGGTGCGATAAAATTCTATTTACATATTTCTTTCCTTGCGAAAGTTTTTGTCCGTTTTTATCACACCGCCATGCTGGTCGCATTGTGCGAGGTCAGGTTTTACAGTGGACCAGTTTCCAGTGGCATGCAGAAGTGTATTTTTAAATCATTTTCGAACTGCCCTTTTTGATTTTTTCTTTACAAAATTGTATTTATGAGGGTCCCTGTATATGCAGAATTTTTTTTTGGATAAGTTCTGAATCACGCTGCATATAGCCGTATTATTTGTGGTGTCATATTCCACATACAAAGATTAGCTAATATTCAATAAATCAAGCAAAAAAACGTTATTTTAAAAACTCGCAAAATTTTTTCGTCGTCCAAATTGCCATAAAAAAAATCATAACTTTCGAATAGCATATTATAAACTCGTACAGAAACAATATGTTTTTACGAAATTATTGTCCATTTCATTCCCATTTTCTGCCATTAGTTTCATACAGTTGGTTTAAGAAAGCAACAACTGTTATCACTGATAAGGGCATAGATACAATCGAGTTTAGGAATTGCCCATTGACGACGTTGACAAGAGTTTGAGGTAGTACTGTCAGCTATAGAATTATCGTTCAGATTTGGACGAAACTTTGTGTACTGGCTAATTATAAGTTAAAAGTAACCCAGTTAAAACTTTGTGAAGCCAAGACATCCTAGAGAAAAGTTACGATTATTTTTACTTTTACAACATTAGCAAGGAGCATTATGGAGAATATCCTTTCAGAGAAGAATTCTCAAAAACTACCATTCAGAATTAAATAAAACATTAGGGTATTAGCTGATATCTCGAAGAACACGTTGATCGCTTTCATTTATCAATTCAGATGTTATAAGCGTAGAAATCTCCGAATAAACATAAAAATTTGTTGATTTTCACGACTTGCCGTCTGATCTGGCAACACCACAAAACAGATTGAAGCACGTATTATTCGAATAGTTAGGCATGCAATAACAGGAATTCAAAGGATGTACAGTAATATTCCGAACTTACGCTATAAGTGGGACCGAGCGATAACCGTGTAAGTCGAATTCGCGTAAGTCGGGGTACAATTTTGCATATAAAGACATACAAATTGTATCTGTACAATATTTGTTGAGATAGAAAAACTGTTATCGGAATTACATACTGTAATAATTTATCACGGCAGGGGCGTGGCTTGAAATTTTCTGCCAATGACTTTCTACCCTGGGTGTCCAATGCGGTGATGCGGGGGCATTCTTGGAAAATTTTATCTCAACAAATATTGTACGGACTATAATTGGAACCGAAGACTGAAAAAAAAAAAAAAATAAATCAAAGAAAAATGTGTAATAAAATCTTAGATTAATACAAAAAACTATATTATGAATTGCAAAACCGTAAGCTGAAGTTATTTACTAACTTTAAACATTTCACTGTCTCACAACTGCGCGAATCGTCTGCTGTAGGCAGTGTTGCCACATCTATATACTAAGCTAGTCAAATGTAAGCATACACTCATTTAATTAGTCCTGTAGCGACAGTAAGTACTATCTTAAGCGCAATTTGAAAAATGAATTATTACTTGATTATTTATTCAAATTAATAATAATAACAATGATAATGTCAGTGTAGTGTTCTGGGGAACAATTGCTGCTGACTGAATATAGAGTTATACTCTGAATAATATATAAAAAGTGTACTAATAAGATTCAGTTTTGATTTCTGATTGTAGAGTAAAAACAAAAACTATAATTTTATGTTTTCGGTAACTTCCTACATGGATAACTTCAATAAAATATAAAATAGGTTAAATTTCTCACTAGTAAGTAACACATCCCAACAAAATTTAACTTTTTTTTGGAAGCAGAAACTTGAATTTATATTTCCGAAGATTTAGGGGCGCTGAATCCGAATCTGGCAGCAGAATTGCTCTATCATGTCAGGTTTTTGAGATATCCTAACCTAAAAGTGCAAAAAACACTGTTTTTCGTCACATTTGAGGTTATGTAGTAATGTCATCTATTCTTTTTCAAAAAACTAATACATTGAATCTAAAAGGCTCCCTCCTTCGAATGCCGTTAAGTTTGCTCAAATAACTTTTTTTTTCGTTCAGATAACACATGTTGAAATTTTTAAGTTTCTCAGTTTCTTAATATGCGAAAATCTACCAAGGATCCCCTAGACATCAAGCAGTCAATTGCAATTCAGAAACTTCATACCCATACGGTTTGTGGGTTTAGGGATTGTGGGTTTGGGGTTTGTGGGTTTGTAGATTTGGAGTTTGTGAGTTTGAGTTCGTATGAATTGAAGATTTCTGAGTATGAAGTTTCTGAACTGCAATCAACTGTTTGACATCTAAGGGATCCTTAGTAGATTTTCACATATTAAGAAACTGATAAACATAGAAATTTCAGCATGTGATATCTCAACGAAAAAAAAACATATTTGAGCAAACTCAACAGGAAGGAATAGATGGCATTACTACATAACCTCAAATATGACGAAAAACGGTGTTTTTTTCACTTTCAGGTTAGGATATCTCAAAAACCTGACATGATAGAACAATTCTGCGGCCAGATTCGGATTCAGCGCAATAAAATCCTTTGGGAATGCATATTAGTATGTCTGCTTCTTGATCCTTGTTGACCTGGGTAATCAAGATTCCCACGACACGACTCGAGAAATGGATAGATGTGATCAACCAGTCTTTCACATTTTTTTAGATACATGAAACCAACCGACGTGTATGTCCACGCTGATATTCACGGAGCCAGTAGCGTTATAATAAAAAATCCAAGTGGCCAAGCCGTTCCTCCTAAAACCCTAAACGAAGCCGGTACAATGGCGATATGCTACAGGTAAATGCCCTTATTCTTTGAAGTAATAAGATTTGCACTTATTAAAAGTGATCTCTTCTAGCGTTGCATGGGATGCCAAAGTGGTGACTAACGCGTATTGGGTATGGGGAGACCAAGTCAGCAAAACCGCGCCCACTGGAGAGTACCTAACGACGGGTAGTTTCATGATCAGGGGGAAGAAAAACTTTCTGCCGCCTTCTCATCTAATTCTGGGCATGAGTTTCCTCTTTCGATTGGAGGATGGTTGCATCGAGAGGCATTTAGGGGAGAGGAAAATTTTAACAGCGACCGAAGAAGACGCTCTTAGTCTTGCCGATAGCGAAATGAGCAAGGAGGAAGTGGAAGTTGAGATATTGGATGAAAGCGATGGTAAGATGTTTGAACATTTTGTGTGTATGTAGTCTGGATAAAATAATCAATTTTCGTTTAGATATAATATTGGATAAAATTAGAGCGACTTCCATTAACTTGTCTACGTCTTAAATGCTTTGTGAATGTTATGATAATGAAATGAAAACAATAGCGTTTAATATTATTAAAGTAGAAATTTTAAATCATGTATTAGTACAGGGGTCTCAAACTTTCCATCTTTAGGGCCATACTGATTACTCCAGTAAGTTCAAACGGCCAAAACCGTTTCAGTTGTCCTGCCACTATCTATAATTTCTAAACCAGCCGCCGAGTACCCACCCTGAGCGAGCATACGCTAGCTAAATTCCCTAGTTCAATTACTATTGTGTATTGTTACGATCGTGACACTTGACGAAATCTGGTGGTCAAAAGCGGAAATAAGTAGTGGCAGTACCCTCTATCGCTAACAGATGGTGCTAGTAGTACTTTCGGAAGTGCAGTAACAATTAAACATTTGTGAATAACCTCGTTGGTTCGAGAAAGTTCTGGTGTTTTCCACTCACTTTGAGGTGCAAGTCTGTTGTGGGATAAAGTAGTGGGTAAACCCATTTAAAAGACATCTTTGATCCGACCAACGCCCTTACATAACACTGATACACACACTACTTGATACTGACGTTGAAACCCTATAATTAAGAACAAATATCAAAACTCATCTTTGTTGGAATTTTATAAGAGTCTTCTGCTGGTACAATTTGATAATTTGCATAAATTTGCACATGGGCTGTTTTCTGTTTTTTTGGTACTCCTTGTGTGATATTACATTCCCTAAAATGAAGTACAGAAAGAATGTTTACAGATCTAAGTTAACCGATGAGCATCTCTTTTAATAATTGGTCCACTTAAAATTGGCCCACAACTACAAACTATTGTCAGTGGAAAATCACAATTACATAAATCTCATTAGTATATTTTACAAGTGGACACCTCGCGGTTTCATCGCATTAATTTAGCTTTTATGTTCCTGAGGGATTTTCAGAATAAAAATCATATGTGTGACCATAGATAAGATATACTATGTAGGAATAGATAGGCGACTTAATGAAAAAATGCATGAAATACGTCATCGGTGTTTGGAGTAAGAAACACTTTCAAGGTCAATTATTGCATATACGAGGGGTATAAGATAAGTTCATTGAGTATAAACGAGCATACGATAACTTCTCGTTATATTCATAGAGTGATTCACAAACACTGACCAAAAATAAAACCTCGTATTCTTTAGTGAATTTTAAGGGGGCTCGTATAAAATTTTTATCTAGGGCATTTCGTTAAAATGATACAAGGCATGAAACTTAAAAAAATATTTAAATTTTTAAAAAACTAATAAAAATTAAAAATAGATGCTGCAGGGCATTGCTGGTATATTTTTCTAAATAAAAAGGTATGCCGCTGCTTTTCTGCACCTTTTGCATTCCTCTTCCAATTTTCTACAAATTACTATTCTTTTATGTTTTTCCAAAAAAAGCCTGATTTCTGAGTAAAACTTAAAAAATGAGCTGAAGACACTTCGATATTCGAATACAACGCTGCTTAATCGTTACATTAGTAGGCTGTGTTTGTGCAAATTGAGGTATTTTTGAGCATTTACTCAAATAAAATCATCAAAATGATGAGATGATCTTCATTCGAATAAATAAATGATTAAAAAAAGTGTTTTTATTGTAATTTAAACAATGTTTTCAGAAAATATCATAATAAAGCCCTGTATCTCAACCACTGGAACATTGTTTTTTTAGGAAAATGCTTCTGATTTTGTACAATATAAATTCATGTGATTAATTTCAAATTATTTCAGTCACTAGTTTCTAAAATGTTTTAAAAATATATTAATTTATAACATCGATTGTTTTAGTGAACCGTCTTTTTTCAATTAAATTTTTGGTTCAACAAAGAACAGATAATTGCTCTCAATAGATAATAAGTCAAGATTCACATGATTTCTTTTTTATTTTAAAAGTTTTCCTTATAAAAGTTTTATCAATTTATTCTTACTGAAAAAGTCATAGTTATTTATACATAAGAGCTATATAGCGGACATTCTGATGTGCTAATAAATATGTCATGTCACTGGATTCTGTATCAAAAAGTGAATAGAAACTTCTTTACAAAAATACAAAATTTTTATAAATATGTAATCAGTGAAAAAGACCAACATTTTCATCTGTGTTTTTATTTCCAAACCAAAACCGTCAAAATTGGCCCACCCTATACAGGGTGTTTCAGAAAATATGGGCCATCCCTCAGGGGCAGATTCCTAACCTAAAAACAAGATTATTTTTTCATATCAATATGGGTCCGATTTCGCTTCGTTCCTTAGCTACAGGGTGTCAAAGTTTTAAAATAAAATAAAAAAGATTTTTCCAAAAATCTAGATTTCCACTTGAGGGAATTAAATGAGATTTGGACAACTAATTATTTACAACCAAATACACATTCCTAGGTATTATTATGTTGCACTTGAATTACAGGACCGGACTCACTGGCAAGCAATGAAATGTTTGGAAACCGTTGGATTGGAGGAGGTGGTCCGATTGTGTGGCCGCCTCATTTCCCAGATCTAACACCCATAGATTTCTACTTCTGGGGACATGTGAAAGAGCTTGTTTATAAAACTCCTGTCACTTCAAGGGTAGCGTACATTCGCTTTAATTCGCCGAAACATAGGGATATTTAGGCGAGTTAGAAAGACTATCAAAAAACTAATTCGGGGTAGCATTCGAGCTGAAGGTAGACATTTTCAACATTTCCTGTAAAATGTTATATTATGTTTATCGAGTTGTTTATTGTAGGTATGTTTACAATTCATAATTAATTCTAGATAAATAAATAATTGTTTATTTTAATATTACATTTAAAATACCGAAAACTCGAGGGAAAATGAAAAAGTAGTATGAGTCAATTTTTGATCAAAATTGAGTTGCAATTTAACCCATCTAATTGTAAATTAGAAACCTTAACGGAGAACAATTTTTTCTTTGATTAAATCCAAGGGCCTGCAAGTAAGTCTGGTCCTGTAATTCATGTTCAACATAATAATATCTAGAAATGTGTATTCGGTTGTAAATAGAATTTCATTTAATTCCCTCAAGTGGAAATCTATATTTTAAGAGCTAAGGAACGAAGCGAAATCGGACCCATGTTGATATGAAAAAATAATCTTGTTTTTAGGTTAGGAATCTGCCCCTGAGCGTTGGCCCATGTTTTCTGAAACACCCTGTATATTGTGTATCATTTAGGCGAATATATTTATTCATATCTTTTCTATGATTTGATCAGAGGACAATATGAAGGAGGAAAATATTACTGAGGTGCAAAGTGCAAAGGAAACCATTACAGAAGCCACTGAATTAGAAAAAGAAGGTGATGATTCATCGGATTCTGATGAAACTCCAAAATTCCCAGATACTCAAATTAAAATTCAGCATTTTGATGGCACCAAGTAAGTTGTTACAGTTATATGACCATTGTTGAGTCAATCGATCAAACTTATACTGACGGCAACAATTAACATAAAATTCCCTAAAGACAATAAGGATGTCAGAATGCATATTTAATTTGTTTGAGTAGTAGCGAGATATAACCTTCATAGCATATGTCATATCTTTAAATGTCATTGCTACTTCATGTCTACAGGCACATGAGCCTACTGACAAAGCACCTACACATTAGTAGGTCAGTTTGTGTCAGTAGGTTAGATATGACATGTACTTTTTAGGGGTTATATCTCACCACCACTCAAAACATTGTCGTTCCCACAATTCACATAATTCTTTAACTCTCAGACATTGCTAGATGGACAATAAGTAATAATTTGCTAGATGTGACCAACGGATTAGTTTAATGTGACTTTTATTTAGTAACTTTTTAAATACCAACTTAAGAAAATGTAATTTACTAGAAACAGTGCAGTGTAAAGATTATCTAATTTTTAGAATTAACATATTGACAGAACCTTCGAATAACATTGAGGAAATTAAAAATGAAGATGTTATTTATCTTGGAGACGAAAAACCTGTGATTTTGAAACCTAACCAAAAGAATAGAAGTAGGGGCAATAGCGAATCAAAAGTTAAACAGCAAAAGAATATCAATAAAGGTAAGAAATAGTCAGATTATAGGTAGTTTATTTGTTTTTCATTTTTTTTTTATTCTAAAATTTGTCATCTTCAACAATGCGTTTTAATTAGAAAGCAAAGAAGACACGAAGCAGCAGCAGTCTAAGAGAGGACAGAAAAGCAAACTAAAGAAGATCAAAGAGAAATACAAGGATCAGGATGACGAAGAGAGGAAACTGAGAATGGAGATATTACAAGTAAGTTATCGCCATATACGTGTAGTGTGTTTTACAATTATTTCTACTTTTTAGTCCTCCGGTACCGGAAAGGAAACAAAGAAAAATAAAAAGAACAAGGACAGCCACAGCAAAGATAAGAAGTCTGACGTAAAGATCTCCAAACCCTTTGTCCCCAAAGAACGTACGGAAGATGGGTTGGATGATGATGAGCCAAATGTGCAAGTGGATGTCGATATGATAGATGCCCTGACGGGAATACCAAATCCGGAAGACGAGCTGTTATTTTCTATTCCAGTCATAGCTCCCTACAACAGTTTATCAAGCTACAAGTAAGAAATTGTTTTATGTATTTTTGACACTTTTTTCAACGATCTTCAATAATTTCCATGTCTCACTTGATCAAATTGGTTTTAGCTTCTAGTAAATTAAATATTCACATGTTTATAAAGTCTCTTAAAAATCACTAGCTAAGAACCTCAACTACATGACAATCCGTAAGTTTTTTAAAGAAAAGTGAAATATGTGCAGTCACTTTTCTGACATTGCTGTCTATCTAGGGAATTTCGTGCTAATCATTGCCAATACTGTTATTTTTAACCTTTTAGGCCATTTACTGTTTTTAATAGTTAAAAAGTGACAAGATGTGAACGAACACTTTTAGAGTTTTCTTTTTGTTCAACCATCTAGAAAGCTTATTTTAGACTAAAAATATAACTCCAAACCAACATTTTTGTTTTGAATAAAATGGAGCAAGATATTTTTTGTTTAAAATAAAATCAAACTTATTGAATTTACCAAATATTCAGTGGCGTCGAAATTCTGAAAATGGAATTTGTACGTTGAGTGTGCAAACTGAAAAATGAGTCGTTAAAGCTTTGTAAAATGCATAACATTGCCCTTTATAGGACAAAAAAGTGTCAATTGCAACATCGCTGTGAAATTTTGTGTGAGATTTACAAAAAGATCTAAGATTTATTATACAAGGTGTCCCAGAATATGTAGGCAATACCTCGGATTTATACAGGGGATGTTAAAATAACGTGACAAGTCCCTATAAAAGTTTTCCCTAGTTTTCCCCTTATGGAGATACAGGCCCCTAAAGGACGCCCCTGAAAATCGATTTTTTTAATAACTTAAAATACTTTTAATTTAATTATTTTTTAATATGATACGATGAATACTTGGTTTGCCGAGGACATACTAGCTGCAGCACAAATATGTCAATTTTTTTACACCCTTTACGATAAAGGCATAAAAATAACATTTTTAGTTAGCTTGAATCTTAACCTAAAAAAAATCACTCTCAGTTGATATTGATAAAATGAACTATTTTTGTTTAATATGATTTTTATTACATCCATAAAGAGAAATAAACCCATGAAATGTGTATCCTTTTTGTGCCTAACTAAAAAAAATGCGTATTTTATTTACATTTGTTTTTTCCTAAAATAATTAAATTATTTTGTTATTAAAAAAAAATATTTTTAGGGGCCTGTATCTCTGTAGGGGGCGCCTCTAGGGAAGATTTCATAGGAACTTGTCATGTTATTTTAACGTTCCCTGTGTAAATCCGAGAGATTGCCCACATAATCTGGGACACCCTGTTCAATTCTTTTCTTCCAAACTCATTCGAAACTCAAAATTTTTGGTGGTATAGTATCATTCCAGAGTATATTATAGTCTTTCCAAAGTCAGTTGAACATGTAAAAAAACGCCTGGCAATAAAATTTAATGAGTTTCATAGGCGTCCCTAAAAAAGTTTTCTGATAAAGGTAAAAATTGTAATAATTTGTATAGAATGTGCAGAAAATTTCTATTGCCTATAATAAATTAAAATTACCTGAATCACACCAAATTCCGCATTGCTGCACTGCACTGCTGGGCAATTTGTCGACTACTTGTCAACGGCTGAGATTTATTGCCCAGTGGCCCAATGCAACTGTATTTGTATTTCATTTGACCGCGCTCGCATTCTTCAACTGGGCGTATACATTTCTCCACGTTTAGTTCGACCAGACCTGTATGTGGGTGTGGTTAAATAAATATGGGAACAAGTTTTTCAAATATTTCAATTGCTAGACATGTATACATGTAAGTTTATTTCTCTAATGTCTTACCACTTTAAAATGAAGCTAAATGTACTGTTTCAGTAAAATTTTTATCTTTTACAACAAAAAATTAATGAAAGGGGAATTTTGAGAGGTACCACCATGTAAAACTTATTTTGGATTCCAGAGACTATAAAAGAAACCTTCAATGAAGATGACATAGTAAGCAACTTGCATGAAAATTTAATTTTTTAGAACTTTGGAACTGCATAAGTTTGTAGTCTATAACCAACAACAATCCACAGTGGTAAAACACATTAATTTCTAAAATGCTATAGGTGATTAAAATTATATCAAATTTAAAATTTTGCTTGGAGATCAAGAACACATTGTGACGTCATTTAGTGCGACCTAGAAAACAACCTGTTTCTCGGGCGTTTACCGCACAAATTAATAAAAGGATTTCCAACAATTCCCATGCTGGCGAGGCTAATTTAACGAAACGCGCATGCGGGAAGCCTTGAAGCAGAATGAATTTAGCTGTTTCTATACTCTTGTTACTTACTGTGTTCATGCTGTCAGGCCGCGATGTCCCTGTCATCTTCTCGATTCTCGATTGCACTAAATGACGTAACGAATTAGCGCGGCAGCAAACACTTTTTTTAAACATTTATTTTGCGCGCCAGACTTTAATGACAACTTCTAAGCCATTTCTAATATTTTCCTTACATATGCTTAGACTATTTCTAGACATTTTAAAAATATACGGTTTGTCCCAGATCACCCGTTCGCCCCTTCTAAAACCAAAAGTACTTGGTTATGTGAAAAATGGTTCAGATGAAGTTACTGTACACATATTGTCGTGATTGATTGTCTGTGTCCTTGAAGGTCATTTTCAAGGTAAGTTCAAGGTCAACTTAGTTTTTTTAAATGGGAACCCTTATTTTCACCCCCGGATTCGGAAAGAGCGGAACATTCTACGTTCAGATGATGATGTATCATGTCTGGGGTCCATTTGACTCCCCAAAGTCATGTATCATATGCATATATCTACCTAGGTACCAAGTTATTTTCCCCGATTTATTTGTAGGTACTTACAATTTTCCGCTCTTTCTGCATCCAAAATTAAGAATGAGGGCTCCTACGTAAAAAATCGAAGTTGACCTTGAAATGACCTTGAAAATTGGTTCCAAGGTTATCGAAACATGCCACTTCAAAATTTTGCAACGTTTATTAGACACATTTTTCGCTAAACCTTAACTTTTCGGGCTCATTTGGGTAGAAAGATTCATTAAAAAAAAATTGACCCTCACGTGACGGGGGATCAGATGATACTTTTCTAATCCTTTTCTAATTATAAGGAATGGAATTATAAGGAATGGAAAGTGAATGAAAACAAAAAAATTTAAAGTATTTACATAAAACGGTCTCTTATGATAAAAGAATTATTTGTCTACACTATGTTTCTATACAGGGTGCTTGTAAATAAGTGCGAAATATTTTAGGGGGTGGTTGCCGATCTTATTTTGTGAAAAAAAGTTCATATAAACGTAGGTCGAAATTTAATTTTTAATTTTTTATTAATTATTTCAGAGTTTTAAAGATATAGACTCAAAATTTGAAAAACTCTTTGGAGAGATAAATGTGTATTTTTTGGGGTGATCCGAATATTTCTACTTGCGCCAGTGGCGTTCGTGCGAAAATTCCACAACCTTTTTTAATACAAAAAATGGTACGCCACTGACTTTTTCCCGTTTTGATATTTTTTTAGAAATCCGCCATCAATTCTGAATGAAATTAGCCACTTCAATTTTTTTCGTAGGATGCACCGTTTTTGAGGAAAAAAATAAAACATATTTTATTGTAGGTTTTCTTTGATAATCTTTTATTACCTATATTAGGCTAGGAAAATAAGCTGGAAAATTACCATTTCGCGACTTTTTATTTCGGCAAGCTGAATTTATCACTATAGATGCTAAATATTATGTACAATAACATATTAGTTTCCACAGTCATAAAAATGGGGGGAAGATTGTTTACAGGGTGGTTAATTGTATAATTTTTATGTAAATTCACGTTTTTCGCTTATAACTTTTTTCGTTGATTTCCACGAGAAAACAGTAAAGTACTTTTTTTCGTCTTTAAAAGACCTACAAAACTAACCCTCGAGCGTCAAAAAATATAAATTTGATTAGATCAAAAGTTATAAACAGAAGTTTATTTATGACTTTTAAATTAAACATTTATAAACTGCGTTATTATTACCAGTATGTTTTGGCATCGCATCCCCTCATTCCTTATCACTGTCTAATAACTCACACGAAATCTGGAATCGGTAAGTTGAATAGTTTACAAGTTATGGCCTTATAAACAAATTAACTAATTATTAGTCTGGACGATTCCGTCCCGTTCAGTCTGTAACTCCGTTGTTTTTCAACGAATCTTGAAGATTTTTTTTAACTTAAAGCTCTTTTCATAAGCTTTCCGAATATGTAATAATATATAATTATATCACGCTCGTGCGTCATATATTTCATTTTGAAACTAAGGCTAAAAAATAAAAAAAAATCCAGATTGCAAAATTGAAATTAAAAAAAAATTATAGATTTCAATGTATTATTATGAAATCTACCATGAAAAAATCAGTGCGATTGTGGAAGATCCTCGGGGTCGTGATAAGGAATGAGAGGATGCGATGCCAAAAGGTTCTGGTAATAATAACGCAGTTTATAAATGTTTCAAAAGTCCTCCTCTGTTTATAACTTTTGGTCTAATCAAAATTTTTTTGACGCTCGAAGGCTAGTTCTGTACGTCTTTTGGAGACGAAAAAAAGTTACTGTTTTCTCGTGGAAATGAACGGAAAAAAGTTATAAGCGGAAAACGTGAATTTACGTAAAAATTATACAATTAACCACCCTGTAAACAATCTTCCCCCCATTTTTATGACTGTGGAAACTAATGTTATTGCACATAACAGAGCTTTAAGTTAAAAAAAATCTGCAAGATTCGTTGAAAAACAACGGAGTTACAGACTGAACGGGACGGAATCGTCCAGACTAATAATTAGTTAATTTGTTTATAAGGCCATAACTTGTAAACTATTCAACTTACCGATTCCAGATTTCGTGTAAAGTTATTAGACAGTGATAAGGAATTAGAGGATGCGATGCCAAAACGTACTGGTAATAATAACGCAGTTTATAAATGTTTAATTTAAAAGTCATAAATAAACTTCTGTTTATAACTTTTGATCTAATCAAATTTATATTTTTCGACGCTCGAGGGTTAGTTTTGTAGGTCTTTTAAAGACGAAAAAAGTACTTTACTGTTTTCTCGTGGAAATCAACGAAAAAAGTTATAAGCGAAAAACGTGAATTTACATAAAAATTATACAATTAACCACCCTGTAAACAATCTTCCCTCCATTTTTATGACTGGAAACTAATGTTATTGCACATAATATTTAGCATCGTTAGTGATAAATTCAGCTTTCCGAAACAAAAAGTCGCGTTCAACTCTATATTTCCTGGCCTATATAGGTCTCTTTTATTATGGTCAAAGAAAAATGCAATTCAACATTGAAAATAAAAAGTTGATTTGAATGTGGGTAAAAAATTCTTCGATTTCGAGATACAGGATGTTTAAAACTCTGAAATAATTAAAATAAATAAAAAATTGAAATTTAAACACTCTGTATCTCGGAAACGAAGCATATTTCGACCTATGTTTATAAGAACTTTTTTTCACTAAATAACTTCGGCAACCACACCCTAAAATATTTTGCACTTATTTACAAACACCCTGTATACTGTGATTTGCAGCATTTTTTAAATTCCGATTTAGATTTAAGGTGAAACTTACGCCCGGACCTGCGAGGAGAGGGAAAGCTGCCCGTACTGCCGTCGCGATGTTCTTGAAGGATCGTACTATTACGCAAAGGGAAAAGGATTTGTTAAAGGCTGTGAAGGACGAGCAACTTGCAAGGAATTTACCGGGAAAAGTGAAACTTTCTGCCCCCAAATTGCAAAGCTTGAAGAAATAATGTAGCCTTCTACCACTACCTTAATATCTGTTAAATATTATAAAGTTATTTGTTAAATTGCAATTTAGCTTTTTCTTTTTCCGAGTCCCATCTATTCCTTATCCTGAAGTTTTCTAGAAATTCTAATAAATCAGAACAAAGATAATTATTTGAGATTTAAATGTAAAAAGTCATTCTTTATTGCATAAATAGTTTGAAGGGAAACTTTTTACATAAAAAATGAACTATACAGGGTGTTCGTGGCGAAATATTTTAAGGGGTGATTGCTGAAGTTTTTTGTGAAAAAAACTTCATATAAGCGTAGGGCGAAATATGCTTCGTTTCCGAGATACATAGTGTTTAAATTTTAATTTTTTATTTATTTTTATTAATTATATCAGTTTTAAAGATATTGACTCAAAATTTGAAAAACGCTTTGAAGGGATAAATGTGCAATTTTTGGGGTGATCCGAATATTTCTACTTGCAGCTTTAAATAAAGAATTAACAAAACCGACAATAAAATATGTTTCATATTTTTTCTCAAAAACGGTGCATCCTACGAAAAAAATTAAAGCGACCAATTTCAATCAGAATTGATAGCGGATGTCTAAAAAAATATCAAAACGGGAAAAAGTCAGTGCCGTACCATTCTTTTATTAAAAAAGCTTTTGGTATTCTCGCACGAACGCCACTGGTGCAAGTAGAAATATTCGCTTCACTCCAAAAAATGCACATGTATCCTTCCAAAGCGTTTTTCAAATTTCGAGACAATGTCTAATAAAAATAAATAAAAAATTTAAATTTAAACACTCTGTATCTCGGAAACGAAGCGTATTTCGACTTACGTTTATATGAACTTTTTTCACAAAGTAACTTCAGCAACCACCCCCTAAAATATTTCGCACTTATTTACAAACACCCTGTATTGATTTTTTAAAATCATTAATAGGTTGTCATAATGGATCAGTGTGGAAATGGACAAATTTGTAGTCAAATAAATTATAGATGTTTAAAATTACGTAAAAAGTTTAACGTAATCGTAAACAAGAACGTATTATGACGTCATTTAGTGCGACCAAAAACAATAACCTGCTTCGCGGCGGTATGCCGTTTAATTTATAATTCCCATAGCCCATACCGACGAAGCGGGATCTAATTCACAGAAACACGTATACAGAGAGCCTCGAAGCAAAGAGAATGATTCTGCATTGGCTATTTCTAGACTATTCTCATACTATTGAGCCGTTCTGCCGGTCTTCTCTAAATTCTCCATCGCACTAAATGAAGCCACGAATTAGCACGGCGCGGCGCAGCAAACACCCATTTGAAACATTTAATTTGCTCGTCAGTCTTTTATAAATAATCATTAATTAATAACATTTAGAGATTCCTAATATCGGGTGTCCCAAAATTTACACAAGATTTGAATTTTGCGCCATATGTGCGGTAAAGTGTTGCCAACGAAAAAAAAGACAATGTAGCAGCTGACAGTTCAAGGTTGTTGACAGGGAGACTAGACAAGGAGCAGGAACTCATACGGGAATATTAACAAAATTTGTCAATGTAATAGTATTATTTATTCATTTATTTAAGCTAAATTCAGAGTAGTCTACATTATTTATTTTTAATTTTTTAACACAAAAACGGCATGATTGATTTTTAATTCAAACTGCCGCTTTCTTGATCTCCTCTCCACTGTTTCGGTGCATATGGGACACTAGCGCCTTCGTGCTCCTGAGCTGTCGGCAAAATTTAGTTTCCCCCTTGAAGCATATACCTACTAGAGGCAACCTTCAATGCTAAATGAGCGAACATACGTGCGAGAAAGAAAGCAAATAAAACTATAAGCTATCTCTCTCACTCCGTAATGTGAGGTGCTGGAAGGGAATGACGGGGTCTGATTCTCAACCAATAAAATTTACGGAGTGAGAGAGAAAGCAAATAAAACTACAAGCTATCTCTCTCACTCCGTAAATTTTATTGGTTGAGAATCAGACCCCGTGATTCCCCTCCAGCACCTCACATTACGGAGTGAGAGAGATAGCTTTCTCTCTCGCACATCTGTTCGCTCATTTAGTATTGAAGGCTGCCTGTAGTAGGTGCGCCATTATTCCATGGCTAGAAATTGGCCTCAATGATTTGGGATCGAGGGGGATTATCCCTCTTTATCCTGCCTCATCTCGTGTAGGCCTGGACAGCCTTCGTAGGTGGGCCCCATCCGTCGTCTTCCCCGACCGCAAATGCGGCCGGTGTAGGCGCTTTGTGGGACCTCCTTTTGTCCTGGCTGGGCCCCGCCGGCTAGGGCCCTTTCTTCTGGCGCTGTAGTAGGTATTTGCTCGAAGGTTTTCCCGGAGACATAGTCTTATGTTTTTGTGCAAATTGGACATTTTGTAGAAGAAGACCTAATTGATCGAATTTGACATGAAATTTTTCCAGTTTTTATACAGGGTGGTCACATTTTTTTTTATCGAATATGAATAAGTTGTGGGAGGTCATGAAGGCTTGCAAAAAATGTAATAATTTTTCCAGGGTCATGTTTAAAAAAATTAAGTTGATGATGGTCCTGTAGAGACGAAACGTTACATATAAAAATTGATTATGCCATTTGATAGAGGGCAAAAATGGTCATGAGAAAGTGTTCTTCCTTTTTCAATATCACCTCAAACCAAGCTGAAATGAAACAAAAACTAATTTCCAAAGTTTCGGTTTTTTCAAATATTTCGAAAACTAATAAAGTTAGCTTTGATTTTTTAGAGAGATAATGTTGGTCCTCTGATTACGCAACTTTGCCCCCATTTAAGTTACTTCGTACCTCTTACCGTTTCCGAGATCCCTGTAGTGAGAATAGAATTTGTAACAGCTTGTAGGTATATGTGTCTATCAAATTGTAAACTAAAAAAAAACTCTCTTTTTTTATAAACGTCTGATGTTTAACATAAAATGAATGCGTCAACAAAAACGACGCATGCGTTTGATTGTAGGAAACCGTTTTGGATTGACCTAGGAACAAAAGCCATTATTACGCTCCTAAAACAAGGTTTATTCTCGATTACCGTAAACACACCATTTTTGGATACCTACTGAAAAACAATTATTTTAAAAATTATTTAAATATATGTAAATTACTTATACAACAATTTCATTTATACGGGGTATATCAGAAAGATCTCCCGTAAATCCAGGGGGTGATAGTACGACAAAAGTAAGAATTTTTTGTCTTATGAACTATATGTCTATCTCCTTTTGTTTTCGAGAATAAAATTTTTTAAATAGAATTTTTACGAAAATTTCCAAACGGTACGGGTATTGCGGGGTTTTTAAGGACGCCAAATACGCTGGTCTAATTATTTTTTGGATATTTCATAGAGGGCGCTAGTTACGCTACATTTCTATTACATTTTAGGTTCTAATTTTTTTAAGTTTAGGTTTTTTACCATTCGGGCTCCAATTTCTAATGTACAATTTTATTTTCTAAAAATAATGTACTCATGTTAGAACTTCCTAATGTTTTTGACGGTTTTTGAGAAAAAAGGCTTTTAATTAAACTCTTAACAATATATTACGGTGTAGAAAAGTTGAGGGGTGCTAAAAAAATTCTTAAAATTTGCAGCAAAACGGTTTTAAAATGAAAATATTAGTTTATTGGTTATAAAAATTGTTTATATATATATATTGTTTTTTTATAGATATATAAATGGTTTTATATTTGGTAACTTAAAATAAAAGTGTAGATATAAAAAAAAACTTTGTATCACATAAAAAAAGGAACTAAACATATTCAGACTCTATCACAAAAAAATCTCAAAAATCACCACTAAAAATAGCCAAAATCAAAATGCATAACCACAAAACATGTACAGCACAGACTACCTACCATATACGGACTCTCAACTCAACACAAATTATGACACACCGCGATGCATTTATCATGCATCTATCAAGTACGCGAAGCAATCGGCATACCCAGTGACGTAGAAAGTCAGGCAACCTGTCCCTTGACTGTTGCCAAGGTCCGTCGTCCAGCGGCTACGGCTATGATAAAAATCGCGCGATAGATCTTTGGTTGGGACTGAAGCCCCCAAAGCCCACCCCCTGGTTACGCCACTGCTAACTACAGTCACTAACAATCACTAAAATTTTGATATAAAGTTATGGGGTATCGCACTATTATAAACTTTTTGGTTGTTGATTTTTCGAGAAAAAGTTATTCTTGATAAAAAGTTTTGCCTATCTTAGGAAGCCATTAGTAGTAATTAAATGTGTAATAAAAAATACAGGGCTTCCAAAAAATTTCAAAATGTGAAATTTTCCCTAAGCAAAGGGCCTTTAATTTTGATTTTCGTTAAAAACTGTATTTAACAAAATTTCGAGAACTCTAGAAATGCTTACATACAGTCAACAAAGAAGAATAATCACATTTTGCGAATAAAAAGACGCCGCTATTTTTAACTATCTTACATACCATATAATTACAATGGATTATTTTTCTTTATCATTGTGAAAGTGAACATATTTATTTTTATTAACTGCCCACCGAATAATTTTTATTAATAATGCTAACCCTGGAGCAACGAATTTATCTTGTGAATTGTTATGATATCGGTAATGTTTCCTATGGGTATGCAATACAAATTTTTAATGAAAAGTATCCAAATGTAACTATAACTCGTAGAGCAGTTCACAAGCTAATTATAAAATTCGATACCACTGATGATGTAAACAATATTAAAAAGAAAATAATGATAACTATGCTGCTACTGTTGTGGTTATGGACTCTGTAATAATCCAAAGATGTCACTCAAGAAAACGTCAGAACATATTAGCAGATCTCATTTTCAAAGAATTTTAGTATACAACAAAATCTATCCATTCAAACCAGTGTTTAATTATAAATTTTCCTTATTACTTACTCCCAATACAGAAACAGTGCCTTACCCAGTGGGGCTAGTAAGGGTACCGCCGTAGAAAATATTTTACCTCACAATCATCGGTCCTATATACAGTATGTCCACAGAAAAGGGGTTGAATAGGAAAAAGTTTCTTATTTTTAAATAAAAAATGATTTGCTTGTTCTTAAAGTAA